CTGCGATTGAACCCAAGCAGAGAGTGCAATTTCAAAGCCTGCAGAAACTATTCAAAACACCAGGGGCCCGTTAACGGCCCAGGATAATGAATTCCATGGCAGTGTGGGCCTCTATGTGTGGGAGACTCGGAGCTTAGCTAAATAAACCTTGTCTGGCTGAGTGGCCCCACTGGTGCCCGGCCCTGTGGGGACGAGAGCAGCCTGGTCTCTCACAGGTCACTGGACGGTCTCAGTGTTAATGACAGCCTCGTTTACCCTAAACTCACCGTTACGTCCACGAGCAACATCTCACACCTCCACTCTGTCACAAAGGATAGGCTACTGTTGGCAAGGGCATTGTTAGTGGCTCAGCTTGAAATGACAAACTGCGTCTGCAGAGGGTTCATGGGAGTTGTGCTGGTTGAAGCTGATAGCAGAGATCACTAGTCTTCCCTGTGGTGGGAGTGACGGGCTCTGATTTTTTTCTTCTTCTTCTTCTCTCTTCATTAACTATTCACATTTGCACCTTATGTGCAGATCACCATCGTCCACTCCACGTGAGTCAAAGTAGTTCAAAGGCAGCGTTGCTTGGAAGTGTGCGCGCCACCCCCAGGAGTCGCCGGGCCTCGGACACCTGCAGGGTGGTTGGGTGCTGAGAGCTTGGGCGTGTTTGGATCAGGGACTGAATTTCCCTCTGAAGATGAGGAAAAGGTTTATGGCACGCTCCCATGAGAGTGTCTCTTGCTCTTTGAAGCTCCTGTCTTGGTGGCTGCTCTTATCTTAGGAAAGGATTATTTTATCTCCTCCTGTTCCTTTCTCTTCTTCTTCTTCCTCTCTCTCGCTTTCCATCAACTCAGGTTTTGTGCGGATCTCTTAGGAGATCTCCTTGCCCTTGCTCTTTCACTCCACTCTTTTCCAATTCCCCCCTTTCAGAGCACACCCATCCCTCTTTTTAACGCCACCCCCACTCTCCTCTCTCTGCTTCCTCTGCTGCACCCCACTCTCATTTTTCTTTCTTTTCCCCCACATCTCCTCTATTCTACCCTTCCAACACATGACAGACTGTGTAATTAATGAGCATCATAAACCTCTCTTTCTATTAGCTACCCATTAGTAAACCTGGCAAGCCTGTCATTTTGGACAAAAACACACAGCTCCTTCATTTGATCCCCACATCAAAGGGGGAACCCCACTGTTTTAGGCTGAATACACTAATTGTGTCCTCGTTCTGGATGGGGCTACACCCCCACCGCTTCAGAAAAGCAGCCAGTGCCGAGTGCAGATAGTAAAGAGAAGTACAGAAGCAGAAAGTATTGATTTAGGCCTAAATTTGGACGTTGGAAAAATTAACAGTCATTCAGCGGCGCTCCTGAAAGTCTGCACAAGTGTGTGTTTATTTGCTGTTCATCACTGGCTCTGTTCAGTTTTACTGTAGACATATTTTGCAAAAAAGGAAACGTCAGTGGGCTTTAGGCCCTGTTATGAGTGTTTTATATGCCGCTGTTGAGATTAAAAGGAATCTTTAAGTGGGGTTCTCCTATTTTACACTACAAACCAACAACATAAAACACGGGATCAGCAATCTTATTAAGATAAATATTTTTTAAAAACTTGTATTATATATTTGCGCATATTATAGTCTCACATGCCTTCAAAGTAATTTTGTGCACTTTAATGATTTTTTTGTCTGCTAATATGACAAAACATTGTCTGTGTGCCGCCACTTTGTTGTGACTGCACGGACTTGTCTGAAATATTCTGTGCGGCCACTACGCTAAAAGTGTTAGCATAGTGATCTACTGCGTATGTGTGGAACGCGTCCTCCAATGGGACATTATGATCAGAACTACCACACGACTGTGGTGTACACATCAGTTTGGGAGTATAACTGAGGCGTAACTCTTAACAGCAAATTGAGTTCATGAGTTTTTGTTTGATAATAATGCATAGGCTTAATTTTATTGAAACTGCACAATTCTTCACATAATAAACTCATCATTTTGAAGAATTTTCATTTTAAATATGTGCATTTTCTTTCAATAACAATAGTCGATGTAAAATTTTTAAACCACGTCTTTTGTGCCTGTCATGTGTGTGCATATATTTTTTCTCTTGTATGCACTGCCACATAAAGTGACTGTGTTAATGGTCTTGTGGCGCATCGGATGCTCTCAAAGGAAGGAGCTGCTGTCTGTTAGTTAGTTTCTATAAATACATCAAAGGTGTTATTAGCAGTATGCCATTGCATCTGCTTTGATGTTGAATTTTACTCCACGTAGCACCTAAGAAACTGTTAAAATATAGTAGGCGTATTGCTGTAAACGCCTAAATTACACCAATGTGTCCATGCAGGAAAATTGTGAATCCAGGTCATTTCCATTGCTTTCAGTATGCAGAATGTCAAACGCATGCCAGTCTGTCTTTCCCTCCTCGGCTGACACATCACACGCTGGGCCACCACAATGGGCTGAGTCACTACCGCTGCAGGAATCAACACTGTACTTCAGTCACGATTGTCTTCTGCCCTTTATAACATGCCCTTTTGTTCCTCAAGATAAAGGCAACAGTCACATGTTTGAGCTTTAAGCGCCCGGCAGCTGCTCCTCTCTCCCGCTACATGCTCCATATCCCCCACCTCACCACCAGGCATCGTTCCCTCCGGTGGGCTCTCCAGGCATCAGGCCCCTAACATTGTTACAGGGACATAAACACAGACAAACCATTAGATCCCCCCGAATCTAACCGTCTGAATGCCCCCCATTATGCCGGTTTCCAGGGAGAATGGCGAGTTTTATGGTGGAATGAGCTATAGTTGGCCACCAAAGTAGGAGCTCCCACAGTTCAATAAATACCTACATCAATCAGGCAGGTGCCTGAAGAATTTAGCTTTTTGTTCTATCAAGCTTTTTTCGACCATAAAAGAAGAAACACATCAGAAATCAAGAGACAGATTTCCATTTGATTTGACAAATGCTTTAATAAGAGCAAAACATTTACTTCATTTTTTCCCTCTGATTTGATGAGGTGTCAAGCTGAAATAACTGCATCCCGTGATAATGGGGATTGATTGGAGGTTTAGGGGTTCACGTCCGTGAGATGAAACTCATGCTTTAAACCCCCGCCACCTCCTCTGTCGCAGGCATCAAAGGCGAAGCTTGGAAATAGGGCCCGCAAAGCCATCTCTCCGTTGGCCTCTTCAAAGGACAGGAAGTGTGTCAGAGGGACAGGCCTTCTATCCCAGCAAATTCAGGCGAGTTGCTATAATAACAAGCTCATCTGTGTGTCTGTGGCGGACTAGTTCAAAGGGGAGCCTGATTCCTCCTGGTGCAACATGTGATGATAGAGGCAGGATGCGGAAACCACTGTTTAGAAGAAATGCAACTGGAGGGCTGCATCAGAGACATGTGTCCAGTGTATAGTCTCGTCCCTAAAGACGTGAAAATCCTTCCCTGAAAATTGGGGCCTGATTACATTTTTGATCTCGACTTCCCAAAAAATCCTCCCAACTTTGTTATATTTGCATATGTCACCTTTGGCTATCAGCAGCTTAACTATGTGCAGGAAATTATAGGACTCGCTCTGCAGGTAGTTGGTGTATTAAAGTCTAAGAAGGCCCCGGCTGTTGCATAGCCATATGGCGTGTGTATGAGGGTAGATACAGTATATTGATTGTTTTCCAACCGAGATGTATGTGTTGGAGGAATATGTATACAGGCTGGGAAAACCAGGCCTATAAACTAAAATATTAGAGGCCATGCTACCCAACCATGTGGTAGCCATCTCATAAAATGGTGATATATTTTGCCATTTAAGCAGCCCTTCAACAATTTGCTTTTACAGATGTTAAGATTATGTCCTAAAACTGAACAAAGCCTCCCGAATTTGAATCTGCTGTTTTTGAAGAAAAATACACCATGACACAGTGATGACAAGAGGAGGGTTTTGATCTAAAATTAGACATCCAGCAATTGAAAAACATGCCATATTTCCTGTTGCAACTTGGTTGATAACACAAAAAATTGCTTTTAAGCAATACTAAAAACCTGTCTATAAAAAGTGTATTATTTAAATGTACTTAAGTGCACAGATTTATGAAGATGCACTGTGATGTTTTTGTTCTTGTTTCTAGTACAAAAAAATATTTTTGTAATATGCATTTTTTTACTAACCATGGCATGAATGGTTTCTCTTTGAGGGTTAGTCTCATTCAACAGTCACAGATTGAAGATTGCAAAAAGTGCATGCACAATTCTTATAGTTGATTTATGTTTGGGTCGTGCATTGATAACTATCAAACATTGATATGGTTTCTCTTAAGGATTTCTGAACCTTTAGCTTTCTCACAGAATGATTACACACGGCACAGTGGCCTCTCTGTCTTTTATTGAATAATTTAGGACTTCAAAATAATCTTAGCCTATTTTCATCTGCTGCCTCCAATAACACTTTGATTTTTATACCTTTTGACGCACACTGACCACAGAAGACATTATGATAAGATGTTGTCCCCAGGAAGCCCCTCTGAGAGCATCATTTCTGGTGTGGTATAATACTGAAATGAACAACTTTATAGGTCAAGAGAGGATCCAAACAGTCATCTAATGTGATGCTGGCATGCTCTATTAAGGTTGTTTATTCATTCTAAATTATTGAAGAGACCTTGTAGCTAATACTTTGTGATTTTAGATGTAGGCTAATGTAATCAGTCACAAAATAATCAGTCATGCTTCATTGAGTCAAACGTATTGCATCTTACTAGTAGCCTACGTTTTCTGATTTGCTGTCAATTAATATATCACAATACTACATGTTGGGATTTGGATTGAGTTGAGGTGATTTGTCCCAAACCTAGCCAGAAGAAGGCTACCGGAAGTAGTTGCATTCATTTTCATAATAAAAATATGTAGGCTAATTGACACGAAGTGGGCAATTTTTTAAATTGCAGGCAGGAATAGGTAACTTTTTTTCCTGGTTTCACGTTTTGTATGGCTATTAGAGCTAATAACATAGACCAAATTATTTTAGATGTTGTTTAATTTCAAAATACAGTTGGCCCCATCCGTATTTTCGTTTTGCTAATCATTATTGTGTGAAGCCATGTGTCTCAGCAAATACAATGTTTTATTCTGAAAGCATTGACAGGAAGTCCTGTGTTGTCCTGTGTGTCTCTTGTCAGCGCGCGGCGCTCTGGATCAAAGGCTCGCTCGGCTCTCCAGTCTTAACGGTCCTGTACTGAGCACAGCGCAGTCTGCCCTCGGTCTCTACGGACGCTCCGCTGTCTGGATATCGTAGCAGGGTTCTTTCTTTTTTTTTTCCTGTCTGGATTATATTCTTCTGATGGTTTTTCAACTCCAACCCGATGCATAGAAATGGGTAAACTGCACTCGAAACATGGTAAGGTTTCTTATTCCTGAGAGAAATCACAGCTATATACTTCTTCTTCTGGTGCTGCGAGACTTTCGAGTAACACTATTCATTGTCTTCTGACTTTCTTTCTCTCAAGCCGCTATTTGTAAACAGAGGGAGAGTCCTGAAGGTAAGCGCGTTTATTTTCCTAAAATAAATACATTTACACAAAGTCTCATATTTCGGTCAGTTTGTGAGCAGCAGAAAAAACATTATTTTCAGAGTCAGCTCTCGGCTCATTAATTAAGAGTCCGACTCTTTGAAGATGGACCGCTTATGGGAAACATGAGTGCAGTGCGAGCAATTGTAGTTTGTAGCTGCTAATAGTGCGCTTCTTTGTTTCAGGCGACAGTTTTGTAGTCAACGCCTGTTTGGCGAGAAAGGGCATCGACGACTGGCTCCTGAAGCAGAAATACTATTGCACGAGCTCTCGCCTCGGGCAACAGGACTGTCACCACAAGAATAGCTGCGGTTTGACCACACGGGTGAGTACGAGTCTGTCCACGAGGTTCACGTATTTATAGGGAAGTGAAGCGTAATAGACGCTTGTTCAGTTGCGTCCTCGCGGTGCTTGTGCGCATTTCACTTAATTAGGACGCGGGGTTTTGCGGTGTTTTTTGTTCTACTATGCACTTCACGGCTTCTCACCTAATAAATAGTTTTATATGAGGCAGTGTCTGTCTGTCCTCTGCCCTTCAAATGCGCTCAAAGTATTGTCAAACTTTCTAAAAGCTTTGTTGGTGGACACACTTTTAATATTGGTGGCGAGGATGGATATGTATTCATTGGCTGCAAATATTTAGATGTTTCAGATTTCATACAGCGAAAAATGTAACATCTACCAATCTCTGATCTACTTAAAATATACACATAACTGGAAACACGATGCTCACTGTTGAAGTGAACCACAAAACGCCTGGTCTTACCTTTTTGTTTCCCTGTGACAAAATGAATGTTACCTCTCCTCCACTCATATGGGAACAGGTCTTTGTTCCACCAATGCACTGATCTGAGGTTGTTGTTCTTTTTTTTATGGGGAACAATAGATCAAGCCTGAGTTGAAAGCATTGCAGTGTGACAGTCTGATGACAAGTGAGGATTGTAAAGGCTGGGGAGAAATGTTGGAGGTCATGCTTGTTTTGTATTTTGGCATTGCCGTAAACACTGTGCTGTTATTGTCAAGTGGGGAAATCCTTTGGAATTGCTTCAGAGGAGACTTAAGCCTCTTTGGTTAGTGAGACCTTCCTCAAAGGCAGCATGTTGGAGGAATTGGAGCCCATCAAGAAAAAAAAAAAAAGAAAAGGAAAATCTGTTCCTTCAGCCTCGATCCACTTTGAGCAGAAATGCATTCGTCCATCAAATGCAGCCCAGATCCAGGCGCATTTTAACAAATTAGAGCAGCTACTTTAGTACTCTGTTGTGATGTTTTGTGGCCTTTTTGAAAAACTAGAATCCTACCATCATTAGCATGTAGCTGCTTGTTGAAATAATCACTCCCATTCTCATTCCCTCTCATTATTTTTTTATGACTTTTGCTCATGCAGCATGCAGCAGTTCTTGTGTAAATGTCATGTTATACTTTGCATTTAAAGTGATTATCATGCATGCAAGACACAACTGCACATGGGTTCTTGGGGGGGGGGGGGACCCCAAAAGAGCTGTTGGCATGTGGATTTATTTGCATGAACGTATGCATCAAACTTGAGGAAGTCTAAGGCAGCAGAAATGGGACTTCCGCCCCAAGTCAGGTCCAAAGTGCGCCATTGTTTTGTCCTCTGCAGCAAGGTGTTTTTTGAAGCTTCGCTTTGCCTGAAGAGCAGCCATGGTGTTGCATGGTGAGTTAGTGATGAGAGAGAGCTAGTGGTCATTTTATTGAATGCCAATTTAATGTGACGTGCAAGTAATTGAGTGTAGTAAATGTGTTGGGAGGGTGGAACTGGCTTTACATGTTGCACCTACATGGTGGCAATGTTGCTAATCCTGACATGTGGCCAAAGCTGCAATAAACATCTTCGTATAGTAACAGGACCCCCCTCATGTCAGGCTGTTGTCTCTTTGGAGATCTCTCTGAGAAAAACACCTGAAACTGTGTTTAATTTGTAGAGCGTGTGGACGCTGTAGCAGCAGAAAAGCCATTTACAGCTTGCTTATGTGCTGAGTGGGCTTCATACGCTTATGGCAATTTAAGCATTTATAACCACATTATTACCATGCAATTACCATCCATTATTACCACAAAAACAAACATTCATTATTTTCTTTTCTGGAAATATCCATGTGCTGCATTTCACAACAACAGTGGTGTGTGTGTGTGTGTGTGTGTGTGTGTGTGTGTGTGTGTGTGTGTGTGTGTGTGTGTGTGTGTGTGTGTGAAGTTTTGGCCCGGGATGCAACAGGAGCCCCTGCTGAAAGGGGTGGATGTTTTGGAAAATAAATTGTTAGTGGAGCTTAGTTTTTTATAAATAAATCAAGTCTGGGTGCCTAATGGCTTTTATAGGTCAGAGGGAGAATGAATAAAAGAAGAAAGGTGTTTCCACCATCAATATGTATTTACTTTCCTCTTTTGTTTTGCGATTATAAAGAGAATCCAAAATATTTAATATTTAATATTAAAGTCTGAACCATTTGTTTGCAAAGGTGTAATCACTATGCAAATTATTACGAGTACAACATTGATATGTTCGAGAGCATTGCAAGATGTTTTTTTTGTTAATTTTGCTTCTTTTTTTTTGGCACATTAAAGCTATTGAAGACGTGGCACACAAATGTTATGAGGTCCCAACGTCTAAATGATCTCAAATGTTGAATTAGTGTTATTTAAATGAAGCCTTCTGTAAATAATAGCACGTTTAGAAACTTCACCCCAAGGTCTTTATGAATAAGAGCAGAAGCTAACCTCTCAGGCGAGAGAATGTGGGTCAACTCTCTTAGCTTTTAAAGCTGCCTATAGTGCGTAGAATACCTGGTGAGACCGTTATTTATAGCCCCTGTTCTTTGAGCACCCCTCCCAGCTGAGCCAGGGTCCAGGAGAATGTGGGTCGGGTGTCAACAGCAGGAAGTCCACACTTGGAATTCTTTTGATCTGATCTTTTCCAAACCATATTCCCTGTAGGAACAATGCCGTTTTCATACATGTCCTGGTTTTAAAGAGCCGCTCACATTCACAGTTATTCTTCATTAATGGTTTTTAAATCCAAATCGTGGTCTAAGCATGCGCAGATAGATTGAGACACAAAGATGCGCTTGAGATCTTAATGATATTACCATGCCGACTCTACACCCATTCATGAGTTCTGCAGTCAGATGGAGTTTGTTTGAGCTTGGCAGACAGTGAGTGAGTGGGTGAGTGAGTGGGCAGGTGTATGTATCTGTGGGTCTCAACACATGAGATCCAGGTCACGGCACACTTTCTCCCCCATGTACAGCATGGTGTCTACACCTACCTATACATTTGATATGTTAAGGGCGTTGATACGGGTCTCACAACTTATCACTTTGAAGTTAGTTGGTTTTAAGGTTTTTCTTCTCTTGGCATCAGATGAAATAAAAATCTGTTATGTTTGTGGCATGTCAAGAGGAACTAAAAAGATCTTATTCCACCCAAGGTTCCCCTTTTTCTATTCTTAAAATCCCCCTCCCCCTCCTCTTTCCCCTCCTGGTCTCCATCTGTTTCTTGCGTTCACCCTGTGGCCCTGTGTTGATTGTGGCTGATGAAATGAGACTGAATTTGAAGCGGGCCATGCGGGGAAGTGTCAGCGGTGACACTGATGGCTCCTCCTCTGCCGTGAAGCCCCGCCCTCTGTGTCGTAAAAGCCACATCCCATCTCCCACTTAGCTGCTGCTCTCACAATTCCCAAGCTCAGATGTGTTTTTTTTTTAAACTGAGCCTCCACTCAGCTCAAATAGTTTGGAAGCGTAGACTAAAAGGAAAGGTACGTGTGACGGCAGAATGCAACTCCAAAGTGAATCACGGTGAAACTTCTGGCCCCAACCCCGTTGTCTCGCAGTTGGTTGCTAGCTCTTTGATTTTTTTTAAATAGAAAGGTTTTTTTGGAAGAAGGCCTAAAGCTTTTAACCGCATTCCCTCAGCCTCCAAGTCTGATAAAAGACATGGCAGGGTTTGCGCCCCATTCGTCTTTCGCGTCTGCTGTTGTGCTTTTTCTCTCCTTGTCGTCTTCACAAAGCGAGGGCCCTTGTTCTAGGAGCTGAAAGCACCTTTCAAATGCAGACTCGTCTTCCTCTTCCTCGCCTTCTTTCTGTCCTTTCCCTGTGCGTTTTCCTTTCCCACCGGCTGGCCTCTTGTGCTGTGCTTTGGTGACGTGTATGCCCCTCTCCCACCGGGCTCTACCCCCTCTGTGCTCCCAAGGGACCGAGGGCCTGTTGTTGCTCTTTGAAGAGGCTGGGAGGAAAAAGTTTGGAGCCACACTCTAAAGAGAAGAAAAGCCTCCGCCTATGGAGGAGGAGGGGTAGCACCTGGCCATTGAGGGGCTCTGTGATTGTTTTTGATTTTCCCATGAGAAGATGGCGTGGAGGTCTCAGGCTGACGTCAACATAGCTTGGGGGACGGGGAGGGTCGAGGACGTGCAGCTGGCTTTAGTGTCACATCCGGCGTCGTGTGTCACCTAGATTACTCAACGCTGGAGGAGATTCTCCTGTGTGACAAAGCAGAGCAGACAACTCTCCTTTTCTGTGAATGCAGCCTTCCGGAAAGGTCTTCTGTGAAAGAATGACAGTGGTTTAGAGTCAGGTAAAGCCCTGGTGGCATGTAGACACTTGATCAGGTGTATCCACAGGGTTTAGCACCTTTTTGTGCTAAAGCATCTCCTCTCCATCTCTCCTATGTAATTCACAATGGCCACTATACATCACATACCATTTTCTAATTGTATTATGGAATGCTGTTTCAAATGTGTTCAGTCTAGTTGTCTCTGAATTCTTCAACAAGTACGATACAATGGTAAAAGTTTGTAATGGCAAAGATCAACTGTTACTTGAAGGTGTCATTGGGAACAAAACCACGTCGCTTGTCATCTTAATGGCATGAATGAAATGACGCTCATGTATGTGCAAATCTGTTCACGCATGAGCATGCAAGTGTGCCGTCAGCTGTCCGGATGCACTCCAGAGATCAAAGGATTCTGGGGGAATGTGCTCTAAATCTCGGAGGATTAGCGGCTGAGATTTTGCTTTGTTTCCCCAAATATATGCTCAGTATACGGAGAGCTGTTGATCAAAGTGTCTCTCACCGCCCCTTCACAGATGCATTTAGGCTGGCAGCTTCTATTCCACACGTTAGGATGGCATTCATTTCACAATTTCAAGAAATGGTTATATTTTTAGGACGTTTGGCTATTTAGTTTTCCTTTGCTTTGAAAGTGGACTCAGATTGAAACATGTGCATAGTGTATAGTAGAAGTAGTGTGATACTCTGAGCAGATAATCCAACTATAAAGCAAGGAATCCCTCTGTCTGTAGGTACGTGTGT